GGGTTTATATAGGGGACTACTATATGGGTTATTAAGGGGATAGTAGGAGTTTAGACAATGGCTCAAATGGCTCTCCTTTGTCTTTGCCGGTACGTGGACCCTTGGCTACCGCAGTTCTCCATAACCACGAACCACCATGCAGTGCAAGCATAGCATGCTCTGAATGAGTGCTTGAGGCTTGCGAGAAATCCTGAAGTCTAGACCCCTAAACCCTACTTGGAGGGTCAGGAGAACTTAGTAAGTAGGTTGAGAACCCCTATAACCCATATAGTAAGCCGAATTATCCCCATTCTTTATCTACTTTCCTAAGTCCCCCTGACCCTCCAAGTAGACCCTCTAGATGGCAGCTTTGCAAAGCAGTCCCAGTGTAATCTAAAGGGGCCAGCTTTTGGCCCTGGATAGTCCCCATGTGAGCTATAATCTAAAGTCCTTAAAGGGTATTATATAGGGGAGTATCATAGGGCTTTTCAAGGGGGATACTAGGAGTTTAGACCATGGCTCATGTATCCCTAGGGTTTCAGGGACTCCGATCTTGAAAGCTCTCCAGATGGCTGGCTCAAGGCCAGCGCGGTATTTGACATGAAGCGACCAGCACAATACAAACATGCGGTTTCGTGTTTAGGTTTAGGGTTCAGGGTTTGGGGTTTGGGGTATAGCAGGTCTCCCAACAAACCACAAAACCCTAAACGCTGAATCCTAAGTAGATAGAAGTTGGAAGTTTCATGCAGCATGACCTACCCCTGGTTAGCAGGGAATAGAGAAAGAGATCCTGAAAGCCATTATCCCCCATAACACGAGTTTAGGGTTTAGGGTTTTTCCCGTCCTAAGGCCTATGCCCTACATAGTAGGTTTCCACCTTTATTCCGTGCCAAGCAGAGGTAAGCGATTGAGATTATCAACAGCCAAATCTCCACCTATCAGCCCTCTACTCTACTAAACCGTTCACAGCAAGCGCGCCGCCCTAAACACTAAACCTCAACCCCCAAACCCTAAACCCTAAATCCTAAACCCTCAACCCTAAGCCCTAAACCCCCAGCCCAAAACCCTAAACCCTCCCTAAACCCTGAACCCTAAGCCCTCAACCCTCAATCTTAAGCCCTCAACCCTGTCTCGAATCATACTTGCCATGCCGTGGCTTCGATGGCCAACTTACTGTACCCGGGCAGAAGCCCAGGTTTCAGAGATTAGGGTTTAGGGTTTAGGGTTAGGGGTTTTAGGGTTTAGGGATTGTGTCTAGGGTCTGCGGAATGTGCTGTAGGCTTTTGTAGGGTTACCCCAAGCCTTTAGGCTGCTGTTCTTGTGGGTACTCTGCTTCATGACGCTCTGTGGTGGCGAGGATTCTTGATTGATTTGTTATGATTATGTTGAAGTCATTATAGGACTATAGGAATCGTGGAGAATCACAATGAAAAGAAAATGGAACATAACATGAAAATTGGGCTTATATGAGCCA